CTTCAGAAAACTATTGGTTGTTCCAGATTTTCACAACATGCCACCAAACGGGCGTCGCGCGCGTGCATGTCGAAATCTGTCGAACGCCCTTGCGCGTGTGCCGTCGCGAGAGTCCTTTGCAAAAAATATGACGAAGTGCACACGCGCGCGTCGTCGCGCGCGTACGCCGGAATCGTTCAAAACCCATCGGTTTCGGAAGGATTTCAAAATCGCGCGTCCAAAAAACCTATGAAAAACAAGGTTTCGCAACACGGGTTTTCAACAAAAGCGTGCGCGCGCGCTCTTGCGGCGTCGTCGTCGTCGTCGTCGTCGTCGCCGTCCTCCCTCCTCCCGCGTCGTCGTCGTCGCCTACGTCGTCCTCTGTCTTTCCTTGGGTTTGTCTTCGTCGTCCTCTTTGGCGTCGTGGTCGTTTCCGTCGTCGTTGTCGCCGTGGTCGTCCTTCCTCCTCCCTCCTCGTCGTCGTCGTCGTCCGTCGTCGGCGTCTCGTCGTTGTGTCTCCTATTTCGTCGCCGTCGTCGTCGTCGTCGTTGTCGTCGTCTCGTCGTCGTCTTCCCTCCTCCCTCGTCGTTGTCGTCGTCGGCGTCGCCGTCCTCCCCCTTCTTCGTCGTTCGCGTCGTCGCCGTCCTCCCTCCTCCCTCGTTGTCGTCGTTGTCGTCGTTGTCGTCGTTGTCGCCGCCGTCGTCCTCCCTCCTCCCTCGTCGTCGTCTTCGTTGGCGACGTCGTCGTCGTCTTCGTCGTCGTCGTCGGCGTCGGCGTCGTCGTCTTCGTCGTCGTCGACGTCGGCGTCGTCGTCGTCGCCGCCGTCGTCGTCGTCGTCGTCGTCGTCGTCGGCCGTCTTGCTTCTCCGGCCTTCTTGGGGCGCTCTTGAGACGCCCCCGAGGGCTCCAAGACGACCCCGGAGCGATATCTGTGCTCGGTCCCGCATGGGTTTTACAAGCCAAATTGCGGGTGGGTGGGTGGGATGATTGCGCGAGCAATGGAGTTGACAACTTCAAGCTCGGCAAGTGATTAATTCTCCATTCTAAAAAAGAATAGACTCTACCCCCCCCAGCGTTATCGGTCCCCCTTTTCGGGTATGTAAATCATATATGATTCTGACCACATGTCCATCCTAAATATGAGTTTTCACTATCCCAGGGGGGCCGGGTTCCCCCCCCCGAGGTTCCCTTCTAAAAAACACTATGCGGTGACATTTTTTGTTCTACAATACACTTTTTTCACGAATCCCTTGCCGAAAAAATGTGACGAAGTGCACACGCGCGCGTTGTCGCGCTCGCATGCCGGAGTCCTTCAAAAACCTTCGGTGCCGGAAGGATTTCGCAATCGAGTTTCCCCAAAAAACATACAAAAACACACGGTTTCGCAACATTGATTTGCTAGAAAAGCTTACGCGCGAGCTCTTGCGAAATCTTAAGAAAACCATAGGTTTTTCAAGATTTTCACAAATAGCTATTAAACGGGCTTCGCGCGCGCGCATGTCGAAATCTGTCGAACGCCCTTGCGCGTGTGCCGTCGCGAGAATCCTCTGCAAAAAACGGGACGAAGTGCAGACGCGCGCGTCGTCGCGCGCGTATGCCGAAATCCTTCAAAACCCATCGGTTGCGGAAGGATTTCAAAATCGTGTGTCCAAACAACAACAATAACACAAGGCTTCGCAACACGGATTTTCAACAAAAGCGTGCGCGCGCGCTCTTGCGTCGTCGTCGTCGTCGTCGCCGTCCTCCCTCCTCTCGCGTCGTCGTCGTCGTCGCCTACGTCGTCCTCTGTCTTTCCTTGTGTTCGTCTCGTCGTCCTCTTTGGCGTCGTGGTCGTTTCTGTCGTCGTTGTCGCCGTGGTCGTCCTTCCTCCTCCTCCCTCGTCGTCGTCGTCGTCCGTCGTCGGCGTCTCGTCGTCGTCCCTCCTATTTCGTCGCCGTCGTCGTCGTCGTCGTCGTCGTCGTCTTCGTGTTCCCTCCTCCCTCGTCGTTGTCGTCGTCGGCGTCGCCGGCCTCCCTTCTTCTTCGTCGTTCGCGTCGTCGCCGTCCTCCCTCCTCCCTCGTCGTTGTTGTCGATGTCGCCGTCGTCGTGCTCCCTCCTCGCTCGTCGTCGTCGTCGTCGTCTTCGTTTGCGACGTCGTCGTCGTCGGCGTCGGCGTCGGCGTCGGCGTCGGCGTCGTCGTCGTCGTCGCCGCCGCCGTCGTCGTCGTCGTCGCCGCCGTCGTCGTCGTCGTCGTCGTCGTCGTCGTCGACGTCGTCGTCGTCGTCGGCGCCGTCGACGTCGTCGTCGTCGTCGGCGTCGTCGTCGTCGTCAGCGTCGTCGTCGTCGGCGTCGGCGTCGTCGTCGTCGGTGTCGTCGTCGTCGTCGTTGTTGTCGTCGTCGGAGACGTCGTCGGAGACGTCGTCGGTGTCGTCGTAGTCGTCGTCGGAGTTGTCATCGTCGGCGCCGGTGTCGTTGCCAAGTGCCATGTGGAACCTACCGTCACGGTCTTAAGAGGTTTTGCAAACCAAGTTGCGGGTGGGTGGGTGGGATGTTTGCAAGAGCATGAGATGTGTCACATCATGGGTAAAAACCAATTTTCTTTTCTCAAAAGAGAACAGACTCTACCCCCCCCGGCGTTACCGGTCCCCTTCCGGGTATGTAAATCATATATGATTCTGACCACATGTCCATCCTAAATATGAATTTACACTATCCCCGGGGGGCCGGGTTCCCCCCCTGAGGTTCCCTTCTAAAAAACACTATGCGGTGACATTTGTTGTTCTAACATCGCACTTTTTCACGAATCCCTTGCAAAAAATGGGCCGAAGTGCACACGCGCGCGTCGTCGCGCGCATGCCGAAATCCTTCGAAAACCTGTGGTGCCGGAAGGATTTCGTAATCGATTTTCCAAAAAAACATTCAAAGACACAGGGTTTCGCAACACTGATTTGCTAAAAAAGCTTACGCGCGAGCTCTTGCGAAATCTGAAGAAAACTATAGGTTTTTCAAGATTTTCACAAAATGCTACCAAGCGGGCTTCGCGCGCGCATGTCGAAATCTGTCGAACGCCCTTGCGCGTGTGCCGTCGCGAGAATCCTCTGCAAAAAATGTGACGAAGTGCAGACGCGCGCGTCGTCGCGCGCGTATGCCGAAATCCTTCAAAACCCATCGGTTGCGGAAGGAGTTCAAAATCGTGTGTCCAAACAACCTACAAAAATACACAAGGTTTCGCAACACGGATTTTCAACAAAAGCGAGCGCGCGCGCTCTTGCGTCGTCGTCGTCGTCGTCGTCGCCCTCCCTCCTCCCGCGTCGTCGTCGTCGTCGCCTACGTCGTTCTCTGTCTTTCCTCGCGTTCGTCGTCGTCGTCCTCTTTGGCGTCGTGGTCGTTTCCGTCGTCGTTGTCGCCGTGGTCGTCCTTCCTCCTCCTCCCTCGTCGTCGTCGTCCGTCGTCGGTGTCTCGTCGTCGTCCCTCCTATTTCGTCGCCGTCGTCGTCGTTGTCGTCGTTGTCATCGTCTTCGTCTTCCCTCCTCCCTCGTCGTTGTCGTCGTCGGCGTCGCCGTCATCCCTTCTTCTTCGTCGTTCGCGTCGTCGCCGTCCTCCCTCCTCCCTCGTCGTTGTCGTCGTTGTCGTCGTTGTCGCCGTCGTCGTCCTCCCTCCTCCCTCGTCGTCGTCTTCGTTGGCGACGTCGTTGTCGTCGTCGTCGTTGTTGTCTTCGTCGTCGTCGTCGTCGTCGGTGTCGTCGGCGTCGGCGTCGTCGTCGTCGTCGTCGTCATCGTCGTCGTCGTCGGCGTCGTCGTCGTCGGTTTCGTCGTCGTCGTCGTTGTCGTCGTCGAAGTCGTTGGAGACGTATTCGGTGTCGTCTTAGTCGGTGTCGGCGGCGCCGTCGTCGTCGTTGTCGCTGTCGTCGTCGGCGTCGGTGTCGTGGCCAAGTGCCATGTGGTACCTACCGTCACGGTTTTGTCTTAAGATGTCTTGCGACCAAGTTGCGGGTGGGAGCGTGGGATGTTTGCACGAGCAGCGGAGAGGACAGCTTCAAGACTGTCAAAGTGGACTCTCCTTTCTAAAAAGAGAATAGACTCTAAGCCCCCCCGGAGTTATCTCTACCCTTTTCGGGTATGTAAATCATATATGATTATGACCACATGTCCATCTTAAATATGAAATCGCAATGTCCCAGGCCAACCAGGTTCCCCCTCTGGAGGTTCCCTTGTACAAAACACAATGCGGTGACTTTTTTTGTTCTAGCATAACACTTTTCCACGAAGCCCTTGCAAAAAATGGGCCGAAGTGCACACGCGCGCGTCGTCGCGCGCGCATGCCGAAATCCTTCAAAAACCTTCGGTGCCGGAAGGATTTCGCAATCGAGTTTCCAAGAAACATAAAAAACACTGGGTTTCGCAACGCTGATTTGCTAAAAAAGCTTCCGCGCGAGCTCTTGCGAAATCTTAAGGAAACCATCGGTTTTTCAAGATTTTCACAAAATGCTACCAAACGGGCTTCGCGCGCGCGCATGTCGAAATCTGTCGAACGCCCTTGCGCGTGTGCCGTCGCCGAGAATCCTCTGCAAAAAACGGGACGAAGTGCAGCGCGCAACCTTCAAAACCCATCGGTTTCGGAAGGATTTCAAAATCGTGTGTCCAAAAAGCATACAAAAACACAAGGTATCGCAACACTGATTTTCAACTAAGCGTGCGCGCGCGCTCTTGCGTCGTCCTCGTCGTCGTCGTCGCCGTCCTCCCTCCTCCCGCGTCGTCGTCGTCGTCGTCGCCTACGTCGTCCTCTGTCTTTCCTCGTGTTCGTCGTCGTCGTCCTCTTTGGCGTCGTGGTCGTTTCCGTCGTCGTTGTCGCCGTGGTCGTCCTCCTCCCTCCTCCGTAGCCATTTTGGCTCAAGATGGTTGGTTCCGCAGGGGAACTCGTGGATGCCGCTAGTCCGCGGCCAGTGCCAGGGTGTTTCTGCCCTACAGTTTTGCTTTCACCTCCGTGTGCCTCCTGCAGCCCGCAGGGGGGTGCTCTTTCTCTCGTGTCCAGCTCCTTCGCGCCATGGCGCCGCAGGCGGGCTTCTCGTTCAACGCGTGGGTGCGAAACGACTCTCCGTCGGTCTCGCCTGGTGGATCGTGGACGCCCGTCTTGGGACGCCGCCGCAAGAAGGAGCCCTACACTTTCTGTAAGTGCGGTCATTGGACTTACGATCGTCTTCTACGCAAGCGTGGCCATTGTGTTGGCTGCATGGCCGAGTTGGTGCCAGCCAGTGACTCCGCAAAGACTGGTGAGGCCCACAGTGCGTGGGGGGGAGGCGGCGTGTCCAAGCCCTCTGGGCTTGCCGCGCCCCAGCTCGCCTTCATGCAGAAGCTTGCCTCCGACCTCCCGCCTGATAAGGCTCGAGCCCTCCTCGATGTGTTCGGCGTCCAGAAGCCCGCGCCTCCTGCCCACAGACTGGGCCAGGGGAACGAGGTGTAGGCGGCGGAGGGGAAGCAGCGGGCGACCGCCAACAGGCTCCAGCAGGCACTTCAGAATCAGGTTCGTATCCAGAAGATGCTCGCGGAGGCCGAGCGGAAGGTGGATGACGCATTGCTGGAGGACATCAAGGCCAAGCAGGAGGTTGAAGAAGCTGCGCGCCGGTTGGCGCAGCGTGTCCTTCCCCCTGAGGAGCCTTCGGCGAAGGAGTCGGTTGTCCACATCGAGGCGCTCCTGACTGACCCTTCGTCGCTGTCCCTTGACCTGGGAGAGGAGCCCGACCTGTCGGGGGATCTGTACTCTGATGAGGAGCGCAAGCAGTTGGCTGAATTCTCCAAGGGGTGTGCTGAACGTGCTCGAGTACTGCTCAGTACCGCCTTCTCCCAGGCTCGGGATGAGGCTCAGAAGATCAAGAAGGAGCGGTCGGAGAGGTTCGAGCAGCTCAAGAAGAAGAGGAAGGGTCCTGAGGGGCAAGCCGCCGCCCCCAGCCCCTGGCGATGGCCGCCCGCCCGCTCCTGCGCCCGCCGCCGCCGCAGCGCCCAGTGGCGCAGCGGCCGCCGCGGAGCCGCCGCCCGCGCAAGGGGGGGGGGGGGGGGGGGGCCTGCCCTCAGAGCCGCCCGCGAGGCCGCCGAGGCGAGGATTGCGCGGGCCGCGGTGCGGCAGGAGCTCGAGGAGGCCGCCAGAAAGGGCGCTGTGGGGGCCAAGGGCAACGGCATGCAGGAGTCTTAGCAGCAAGGAGACCCGCGTCTCCCCCCAGACCCTGAAGATCATTTACGGCAACATCGCCCAGTGGGGCCCGCAAGCGGAACGTTGGCTTGCAGAGACTTCCGTTGACATTGTTTTTTGTTGAGACCCGCGTTCTGGGGCCTGCTTTGGCCAAGATGCAGAGGACTATGCACCGCCTCGGTTGGAAGGCGGTGATTGGAGCCGCTGACGGCGCGGATGCTGATTCGTCCTCTGTTGGTGTGGCAGTGTTGGCTCGCTCGCATCTGGGCCTCTCGAGCCTCTCACTGGAGGCAGATGGCGGCTGGGCCACCAGTGCGTGCTCACGCTGGTGTGTGGCGACGCGCCGCTTGAAGCACGTGATCGTCACCTTCGTTCCTGTCTACCTCGTGTCGGGAGGCGGGCTCAACGGCAAGAATATGCGCATCCTGTCCCAGCTCGGGGCTCGCATCAGCCAGGTCGCAGGACCTGTCGTGATAATCGGTGATTGGCAGAATGCGGTTGACAACCTCGCCAGTGTGAATTTCCTCGGCAGTTTGGGTTTGTGCGAGATCCCGTCGGACCTGGTGTTCACCTGCGCGGGTGGCAAAGGCGCGGCCAGCAAGATCGACTTCGGGCTCGTGAGCTGCGATTTCCTGCTTGCCGTGAGGTTCGACGGCATTGACACGACGGCCCCCTGGGGCACTCACTTGGTTCTGAAGTTCGAGCTGATGGCGGAGCCCAGGAGGGTCGAGAGGCTTCGAGTGATGGAGCCCAGGGCGCTGGACGTCGCGACCGACCTCAGCGGTTCGTGGCAGCTCGACTGGGACACGGCAATGCAGCGGGCCTCATCCGTGATCGGCTCGAGGCCAAACCGTTTCATGTCGAACTTGGCGATTGCGCAGGTGGTCAGAGAACGGCACGACTCCATCCAGTCGGCCTTGGACCTGGGCCGCCAATTTTCTGCATGGGCATGCGCCCTGGGGCCCGTCACATGCGCAAGGAAAGGTATCCCTGAGAGTAAGTGGCTCCATTATGTTGGTAGGTGCCAGGCCCCGCGTTCTAGGAGGGCCCCGCTGGCGCCCAAGGCCTCGTAGGGGCCGCCTCTTGCCGACAGGCGCGCCAGGTTTTGGCAGTCTCTGGCTCCCCAGCTGGTCTTTCTGAGGCGTCTGGTTGACCCCAGGGCGGATTCGGAGGAGCCCACTGAGCCCCTGCCCTCTGTTTCTGCTCAGTTCTGGAGCCAGGTCCGTGCTCTCGAGGCCCTGGTGCCTCCAGAGGCCCTTGGCCCTTCTGACGCCGTGGAGGCTGTTGTGCTCTCGGGGTGGATCGGTCGGCTTCGGCGCCTCCGCGAGCTCACTGCCGAGTCTTTAGAGCAGTGCTGCGAGGAGGCGGAGGCAAAGGGCAAGAGAGCGGCGGCTGTAGCTGCTCATGCGGCTCGCAGTCGTCCTGGTCAAGGATGGTCAAGGATGGGCCTCCTGGGTGTCTCGCAGCGCTCGCTGCAATTTTAACGGATATGGAACATAAAGCAGCTGTGCCCTTTCAGGAATTATTCAACATGATTTGCCTCCTGGATAAGGAGGATGGTGGGTTGAGGCCCATAGCTCTTTTGAAGTTCTGCTATGTTTTGCTGTGCCGAATTCGCAAGCCCCTGATCGGTGCGCGGGACAAGGATCGCCGCGGACCATGGGACAAGACGGTCGGCGGCTCTGTTGAGCATGCGGGCTGGATTGATGAGTTGGAGGGGGTGTTGGCGGTGTTGGGCGGGTTTGGTGTGGCGGGGGGGGTGCTTGATATGAAGAAATTTTATGACCTCGTCTACCTGCCCGATCTTGCCACCGCGGCCCATGAGTTGGGCTACCCTCTCCGCCTCCTTGTCCTTGCCCTCGATGTGCACCTGGGGTCCCACATCCTCACTCTTCAAAAGTTGGTCCATCCTGGCCTGCTGCCTGGAGGAGGCATCCTTGCTGGGCGTGGCCAAGCAGCCTCGTTGGCCAGAGCTTTCTTGCACGAGCCTCTGGGACGGGCCTCGTCCCAGGGCCACGGGCTTCATCTGCGCGAATGGATTGATGACCTCGCTTTCCGCATTGTGGGCACTGGGCATCCCATTAGCATTGCTTTTTCCAGTCGTTCTCCGCACGCTGCTTGAAGGTCCCAGGCGTAGACGTTGCATTCTCTCTGTCAAGAAGTGCGCCCTGATGGCCTCCTCCAATGTAGTGCGCTCAAGGCTGAATGCCTGGGCTCAGGAGGCGGGGTGGGGGGGGGGGGGAAGGCGGCTAGTCTTCCATCGGCTTTCTCTTCCAGGGACTTGGGCCATGACGCTACCTTTGGCGCGGCCCGTTCTGTGAAGGTCCGCCGACATCGCCTCGCCAAGGGCAGGCGTGCCGCTTTAAAAATCGCGGGTTTTGGTTTTGTCAAGACTAGGCCCAAGGCCACCAATCTTTATGTTACGAACAGTTTCCCGAAGGCTGCTTGGGCCCCCGAGGTTCACGGCCTGGCCCCTTCCACCCTGAGGCAGCTCAGAGGTCAAGCCCGCTCGGGCAGCAAGTGCCCCCAGCGTGGCTCGTGTGCGACTACTGCCATCGAGGTGTCGTTCGGGGCTGGGCGGGGCCCGTGGATATAGTAGATTCGCAAGTTGATTGGTTCGTGGTATTCCCGCGTTTTCTCGAACCCTAGCCTCGCCGAGCGTATTCGGGGGCGTTGGAATGAGTCCCCCGCCCGTGTCGGCAAGGGCTGGACGTGGGTCCGAGGGCCCCTGGGGGCTTACCAGGCTTCCATGGCTTCTCTGGGGTGGGAATGCCACACCCTGGACTCTCTTGTGGAGCCTGGAGGCCCAGATCGGTTCAAGTGGGAGCTGATCGACCAGGGCGCTGCGCCTCCGACTAGGCTCTTGGATGCCCTAGAGTCCACTATAGAGGAGCGCGCCTGGGTCCAGGCCTCCAAGCATATGGACGGGGCGGGTGGTGAGGGTGGGGTCTGGTACCAGCATGTGGCCTCTCTTGCTGAGAGGCTGGAAAAGAGTGACCAGCCAGCTCTTGCCAGTATGGTCCGCCTAGTTGCCTGTGGGGGATTTCGGACGGAATCCCGACGTTTCCCGGCAGGTTTTAGGACTGATGACTGTTGTCAGCGCTGCAAGCGCTCACCCGAAACCAGTGTGCACAGGTCTTGGGAATGTCCGTGTAACTTTTTCTTTCAGGAGTGGGCTGAGAGGGTAGGAGTCGAGCCTCCGTCCAGCTTTGGGGTTGAGACGAATCACCTCTCTGGACAGGCTCAGCAGGAGGTCGGTCGGGCGCCAATTTATTGGGTCAGGGGCCTGATCCCCCTGCCCTGGCTTGAGCTCCCGCCCCCTCCTGAGGCTCGCAGCCTAGAACGGATCGGAGTCCAGGCCTGGCCCCTCCCTGGCGGCACGTACGCCGCTGACGGATCGGGGGGTCAGCGCGGGAAGCAACCCCTGCTCCGTAGGGTGGCCTGGGGTTTTGCCCGTCTGGCCTCCTTGAGCCCTCTCGCTTGGGACTCTGGTTGCACGGGCCTGGTGGACAGCCCAAAGCAGACGGTCCCTCGGGCCGAGCTTTTGGGTCTCATCGAAGTGCTGAGGGCTGTCCGCCTGGACGAAGAGCTCATTATTCTCTCGGATCACATTAATCATGTTAGAGCCTACGCCAGAGGTAGACATCATTGTGTCAAGCTCGAGAATGTCGACCTCTGGCATGAATTCTGGAGGCTCGCTGAAGCCAGGCCTGCCCCGCTCATCCTCTCTCATGCCCCTCCCACCTGGCCGAGGGTAGAGGCAGGCTGGCGCGTTTCGGCGCCGCAGTCCAAACGGGAGGTGTTCACCTGAACGCGGTGGCGGACGGCCTTGCGGATGCTCGAGCCGCGCGCGCCCAGGTGCCCTCCTCGGTCGCCGATCGGGCGTGCACTTTCCTCAAGGAGGCTGAAGCTATTTTGTGCCGTAGCGCCTCTCTCGCCATTGCTGCCGCTGCCGTGCCGAAGGATCCAGAGAGGCAGGTGTTCCCACAGCGCCTATCTCGGGCTCAAAGGCGCGCGGCGGCTATTGGCAAGGCGAAGAGCAGCTCCAACCATGTCTGGCGCGATTTCCCATCGGGGTTGGAGCTGCTTTCTGTGTGGCAGACTGGTTTTTCGGACTCCGAGCTGTGTCCTGTCCAGGCTGCGCACTACGTGCCTGGCTCTCTCAAGCTCCCTTGCATCTCTGCCCGTGGTGCCCCCTCGCGTGGCGGTTCGCTTTCCCCGCGGGTTTGAATCCTCACCTCCCTTTGATGAGCAGCTTTTCCGTTTTATGGGTTGGCCCGGCCCCCCCGCCCGTTTTGAGGGGCAGGGCTGGAGAGGCCACCCACTCCACTGCTCCCACTCTCTCTGGCAGAAGGGCGGTTTTGTTTTCTGTGGAGTCTGCGGGAGGTACGCCGAGGGCACCCCCAAGCCCCTGACCCAGGAGTGTGAGTGCGTTCGGTTTGGACGCTTCTCCCTCATTGAGGCCCAGTATACTGCTATCATGAGAGTTCGGAAGAGGCTGCCCCCCCCGCAGGGGAACAAAGGAGTGGGGCCAGAGGCCTGATTGTTTGGACCCCTAGTGGGGTCACCTGTTTTCCTGTCTGTGAGTCCTGGTGCTCTGGCGCTGGAGGCTAGCAAGGCAGCTGCATCTAGCAAAAAAAAATCCTTCCTCCTCCTCCCTCGTCGTCGTCGTCGTCGTCCGTCGTCGGCGTCTCGTCGTCGTCCCTCCTATTTCGTCGCCGTTGTCGTCGTCGTCGTTGTCGTCGTCGTCGTTGTCGTCGCCGTCTTCCCTCCTCCCTCGTCGTTGTCGTCGTCAGCGTCGCCGTCCTTCCTCCTTCTTCGTCGTTCGCGTCGTCGCCGTCCTCCCTCCTCCCTCGTCGTTGTCGTCGTTGTCGTCGTTGTCGCCGTCGTCGTCCTTCCTCCTCCCTCGTCGTCGCCTTCGTTGGTTTCGTCGTCGTCGTCTTCGTCGTCGTCGGCGTCGGCGTCGTTGTCGTCGTCGAAGTCGTCGGAGACGTCGCCGGTGTCGTCGTAGTCGTTGTCGTCGGTATCGTCGTAGTCGGTCTTAAGAGGTTTTGCAAACCAAGTTGCGGGTGGGTGGGTGGGATGTTTGCAAGAGCGTGGTATGTGTCAAATCATGGGTGAAAGACAGTTCTCCTTTCTAAAAACAGATTATCCCAGTGCGACCCTACCTCGGAGTTGGAGCATTTAGGAAAGTAACATCTACATCTGCACCGACAGCTAAACTTACATCTACACCTGCATCGACATCTACATCAACATCAACAGCGAGACTCACATCTACATCAACATATTTGCTGCTACGTTGTGATATGTTATGCTGCGCTATGCTATGCGATGCTATGGTATGATTTGCTATGCGGCGCTATGCTATGCAACGCTATGATAGGGTACGCCCGGCTGCGCTGTGTTATGCTATGCTACGCTATGCTATGCTATGCTGCGCTATGCTATGCTATGATATGCTCTGCTGCGCTATTATATGCCATGATATGTTATGATGCGCTATGTTTTGCTAGGCTATGATATGCTATGCTGTGCTATGCTATGATATGCTATTATATGCAGCACTATGCTATGGTGTGCTGTGATATGCTATGCGATGTTGCATTGTGCTATGCTAAGCAATACTATGCTGTGCTATGCAATGCTATACGATGCTACGATATGATATGCTATGCTGCGCTATGCTATGGTATGCTATGCTATGCTATGCAATGATATGTTGAGCTATGCTATGCTATGCGATGCTTGGATATGCTGTGCTATGCTGTGTTAGTGCTATACTGTGCTGTGCTGCGCTATGCTATGCTATGCTATGCTATGCTATGCTATGCTATGCTGCGCTATACTGTGCTATGCTGGGCTATGCTATGGTATGCTGTGTTGCTAAGATGAAGTAAGCTAAGCTCATATGAGATAAGCAACGCTAAGCTAAGGGGACGTAACTGGGGGAACCGCGGGGCGGATCCTGGGGGAACCGCCCGGGGCGATTTACACTGCCCGGCCCCTTTAAGATAGAGAGTAAGAACCCTTCTAGGCAGAGCTTAGGTAAGGAAATAGGATCTCCCCCCCCAGAGTTATCACTTTACCTTTCGGGTACGTAAATCATCTACGATTATGACCACATGTCCATCCTAAATATGAAATCACAATGTCAAATGCCAACCGGTATCCCCCCCCTGAGGTTCCCTTGTAAAAAACACTTTGTGGTGACATTGTTTGTTCTAACATAACACTTGTTCACGAATTCCTTGCAAAAAAAAACGGGACGAAGTGCACACGCGCGCGTCGTCGCGCGCCCATGCCGAAATCCTTCAAAAACCTTCGGTGCCGGAGGGATTTCGCAATCGAGGTTCCAAACAACATACAAAAACATTGGGTTTCGCAACACTGATTTGCTAAGAAAGCTTCCGCGCGAGCTCTTGCGAAATCTTAAGGAAACCATTGGTTTTTCAAGATTTTCACAAAATGCTACCAAACGGGCTTCGCGCGCGCGCATGTCGAAATCTGTCGAACGCCCTTGCGCGTGTGCCGTCGCGAGAATCCTCTGCAAAAAGTGGGACGAAGTGCAGACGCGCGCGTCGTCGCGGGCGTATGCCGAAAACCTTCAAAACCCATCGGTTTCGGAAGGATTTCAAAATCGTGTGTCCGAAAAACCTACAAAAACCAAAGGGTTCGCAACACGGATTTTCAACAAAAGCGTGCTCGCGCGCTCTTGCGTCGTCGTCGTCGTCGTCGTCGTCGCCGTCCTCCCTCCTCCCGCGTCGTCGTCGTCGTCGTCGCCTACGTCGTCCTCTGTCTTTTCTCGTGTTCGTCGCCGTCGTCCTGTTAGGCGTCGTGGTCGTTTCCGTCGTCTTTGTCGCCGTGGTCGTCCTTCCTCCTCCTCCCTGGTCGTCGTCGTCGTCCGTCGTCGGCGTCTCGTCGTCGTCCCTCCTATTTCGTCGCCGTCGTCGTCGTCGTCGTTGTTGTCGTCATCGTCGTCCCTCCTCCCTCGTCGTTGTCGTCGTCGGCGCCGCCGTCCTCCCTCCTCCCTCGTCGTTGTCGTCGTTGTCGTCGTTGTCGCCGTCGTCGTCCTTCCTCCTCCCTCGTCGTCGCCTTCGTTGGTTTCGTCGTAGTCGTCTTCGTCGGCGTCGGCGTCGGCGTCGTTGTCGTCGTCGAAGTCGTCGGAGACGTCGCCGGTGTCGTCCTAGTCGGTGTCGTCGGTGTCGTCGTAGTCGGTCTTTGCAAGTTTTGCAAATCAAGTTGCGGGTGGGTGGGTGGGATGTTTGCGCGAGCAGTGGAGATGACGACTTCAAGTTCAGCAGAGTGGATTGCACCACGTAGAATTCACCGCATAGATTGCACCGCGTTGGCTGCATCACATAGACTGCACAAACAGACTGCACTACATGATTCTCTTTTCGAACAGAGCATGAGGATCTACCCACCCCCAGGATCAAACCGCCCCCCTTTTTTTCTACCGCAAGTTACACATGATTCTACCCCATCGTCCACCCGAAATATGAACTCAGATCATCCCAGGCAGGCCGGCATCGCGTCAACCCTTATTCTCAGCAGCAGCCACTATGCGCGCACTCGCTTATCACAAATCATCAGTTGCCAGACCATCACTTGCCACTCGCCACAAATCATCCATGGGACGACGTGCGCACGCGCGCGTCGTCGCGCGCGCATGCCGAAATATTTTAACATTCCAGGTGTCCTAAGGATTTCAAAGTCGAGTGTCCCGAACACATATAAAGCGTATGAGTTCGCAACACAGGTTTGTAAAATATGTTTGCGCTCGCGCTCTTGCAGGTTCTTAAGAAAAAGCATTGGTGTTCAAAATGTGCATAACATGCTAACACGCGGGCCCATCGTGCGCGCATGCTGAAATTGCTTGAACGCCCTTGCACGCGTGCTGTCGCAAGAACCCTTGGCACCACATGGGATTGAGTGCACACGCGCGCGTCGTCGCGCGCGCATGCCAAAATGGAGTTCAACAATGAATGTCCCGAACAGATGTAAAGACAAACGCACGGTTTTGCAACAACGAGTTTCAAACAAGCTTGCGCGCTCCCTCTTGCCAAGCCTGAGGGAAACCATAGGTCTGTTAACATTGCCATCACATTCTGCCAAACGGGCCCCTCGCGCCGCATGCCGAAATTGCTCGAACGCCATTGCGCGCGTGCTGGGTGGAGGCACGATCCGTGTCAAAACGCCCATCACCGACGCGAGGACATCGTCATCGTTATCGGCGGACGTGCTGAGCATCGGCGCCGTAATTGACCTTGCGTCGTCATCGCCACCATCGTCGCCATGATATTGCGCCCGCTCAAGTCACCGACTCGCGCTGAAGTTTCCGCTGGGAGGTGCCCAGCGGTCAGCGCCACCGCGGCCGCGTCGGCCGCGCCGCAGTACCTGGCCGCTATGCGCGAAAGCAAGCGCTGGCTAGCGCGGCCGCGGAGATGCACCAGCCAACGCCAAACTTTCATCGCAATCGCCGCCGCATGGGCTGTGCAAGCCAAGTTGCGGGTGGGTGGGTGGGATGGTTGCGCGGGCAGTGGGGTTGACCATTCATTGCGGGCGTCGCGGGCTGCACAGTACAGATCCCGCACAGACTGCACAGCTTATACGGTACCGCGTAGAGGCACAACATTTTTGGCACCACGCAGGCTGCACAATATAGACGACACCACAAAGAGTGCACCACGCATGTTGCACAACATCGGTTGCGCAACAGATCTTGCACACGGCATATATTGCCAGACGCAGCTAGAAACACATTCGGGCCCACGCTGCCCAACACACACACACATATAAATACACCTGCGTGTGCATATATATATATATATATATACATATATATATATGTATATGTGTATACGTATAGATCCCTCTCTTTCTCCCTCGCTCTCTCTCTCTCTCTCTCTCTCTCCCTCTCGCTCTTTTTCTGTTCATTATTTGTTTGTGTTTCTCTCTCTCTCTCTCTCTCTACCTCTCTCAATATCGCTCTCGCTCTTTCCGCTTCCCGCCATGTGTAGTTAGTCGTCACGATTATCGCGTTCTCCCTCCTTGTCCTCCTGTCTCCCTTCTCCCCCTCCCTATCCACCTTTTTCTTTCCTCCTTCCTTTCTCCCGTCAGTCCTCTTCGTATCCGCCTCCCTTCCTTCGTTCGTTCTCTCTCTCTCTCTCGCTCTCTCTCTACGTCCTCCGTAACGCATATCATTTCATAGCGTCCCCTTTCCATTTGCCCTGCCTTCCCCGTCATC